CCCAGGTGGGGTTCTCCTGGTGCTGGTGTGTGCACCATTCCAAGTCCTCTAAAGAGGGCTATCCGGCTTCACAGCCAATGTGATGTGAAAGTTGTTGGAACTCCTCAATAGCCCGCTCATCATGGACACGGCACGCTTGCGCATGATCGCGTAGAAGTCGTCCACACGAGCATCCACAAACATAGACGACGCACTGCCGTGTCGAGGCCTCCTCAACATCACCCCCAGAATATTTTTGTACTGAACACGCAGAGCACTGCAGGCTCGCTGCGTATAGTTGGTCCACAGACTGCACGTGAAATAAGATTGGCAATATGCCTTGAACAAAATTAACTTGCCTTGAGTCGTACTACGTGCAAATCTGCGAGACAACATATTGTCCCGGACTGACAGCGCTCGGCGCTCTCATTCAATGTCGCTGTCGTCATCCAGGCGTTCAGTTACAATATATCTGCAGTACCTAAACTCAGCAACATGTCTCAGAGTAGTCCCACATATCTGGATAAGTGGTTTGAAGACAAGTGATTTGTTTTTACCTCTGAGGACAATAAATTCACTCTTTTTTGAGTTGTAGCTGGGTCCCATCTCCTCGGCATATTCGTCGAAGATTTTTAACAGTTTACGAAGCCCGCTGACTGAGGAGCTCAACATAACACTGTCGTCTGCGTAACTAAAGTTATTCATCGACACACCATCTATTGGGCAACTGACACCTGATCTGCTACTTTTTAGGAGTACTTAGAGAACTTAATAAAATAGGCCAAAATTTGAGATCATCATCATCATTACAGCCCGTCACAAATCTACTGCTGTTTATTGGCCCAACGGACTGCCACAATGCATGGTCCTAAGCCACTTGCAATCCATACCAAATCGTCTAGTGGGGGTGGCCTTCGGACACAAGGCTACCAATCGATAACCTCGTCGTTATCGGGTCTTCGACCCCTATGACTGGCCTGATGCCTGTTCAGATTACGGATACTGATGTCGGTTGTTCCGGTTTTAGATATCAGTCTGAAAATATGAATATATATATATATATATATATATATATATATATATATATATATATATATACATACATATAGAAGAGGGTGCAAACGAGCATGCGACTCACCTGATGGTAAGTGACTACTGCCGTCCATTAACAACCACAACACCAGGGGAATTGTTTTTAGAAGGTGCCTAAGTCGTATCGGTCCGGAAAAGTTGCCGGTGTTCACTATTTCACAGAGAAGTTTTACTAGGAAGACAACTCCTAGTAAAACGCACAGTGATGGACCACTAAGTATCCAGATGGTGAGGATGGTATCGTAAATTTTGACGCGATGTGCGTTCGTGAAATTTGGCGGCTGGAACTAAGCCGAACAATTTCTCAGAACACCTCCATGATAGATACGATAGAAAACTCAAAGGGATGCAACATCCTTACGCAGCGCCAGTGAATCGAGCCGATCAGAAAGAACTTGTTCGTCGACGATTCGAATCGCTCTGCGCTGGATGCCGACAAGTGGAAGGAGCTGGCACTGGGGTGCCCCCGCCCAGAGATGAGAACAGTTTTCCATGTGAGGCCGAACTTGCGCTTTGTAAAGTTGCAAGTGATGTGCCGGCATAAAATACTGTCTCGCTCTGCTGAGCACACCAGGCTTTTTAGAGGCCAATTTGGCCTTACCCTCTAAGTGATCACGAAACTGCACACTATTCGATATGGTAACGCTGAGGATTCTGATGCTAGTTGAGGGAGCGAGGGGAGTGCCTTCAAACTGAGAAGATACGACAAAGGCGTTCTTTTTAGCGGTTAAGGCGTAAATTTGTGTCTTCTGAAGATTGAATTGGACTAGATTTAGTCGCCCCCAATCCGAGACTTTGTTAAGCAAAGACTCGACTTCAGACACAAGTTTGTTGACGATTTCCCGAGAAATATTGGCACGGTCGGTGTATAAGGCATCACCAGTGCGATCGTCTGCATAGCAATGAATGTGTGACAGCGCTGTCGGCGCGCCGCAAGCGAAACACACCGAAGCCTAAATCACGCTATCCAAATTTCGAATCATAAACAATATAATATATAGAACATCTGCGAAATGTTACCAAATGGCAACATATCATTGATATGCAGAAGAAACAGCATTGGTGATAACACGCAACCTTGTGGAACATCAGCGTTAATATGCTTGTAATCAGAGCATGCACCGTCTACTACGACCTTGATGCTTCCGATTAGCAAGAAATCCAAATCGCACAATTTCTCGGGAAGCCCATAAGAAGGGAGCTTCAAAAGAAGCGCTTTGTGACAGACCCGATCGAAGGCCTTCGCTATGTCCAAACTAATGACCAATGCCTCCCCCTTGGACTCTACTGCCTCCGCCCATCTGTGTGTAAGGAAGACCAGATCACCAGCTGATCGATTACGACGGAAACCATATTGGCGGTCAGTGATCAGTTAGTGATCCTCAAGGTACCTCATGAACTGGCAGTTTACAATGGACTCCATTATTTTGGAGAATAAGGAGGTGATGGCGATAGGCCTGTAGTTTGACAGGTCTGAGCGTTCGCTTTTTATAGGGATCGGGTGGACCAAACCTGTCTTCCGAGAATTCGATACTATACACCTCTTCAGCACAATGGGAGGAACTCCATCAGGCCTACTTGACATGCTGAAGTCGAGGGAAAGGAGTGCTTTGCGAAGCGAGCGCTGTGTAAACCACACATCTGGCATGGAGCATTCACATCGCGGGATAGTCGGCAGTGTGTTCCCCCCCATCATCGAGAGTGGAGCTGGACGCAAAGAGAGAGCCTAACAGATCGGCTTTTCCCTTTGCGGCATGGGGCAGTAAGTTGCCCTCTCTGTGCAGAGATGTAAGAGATGACTGACAGAAGTTCCCTTGGACAGCCTTGGCGAGAGGCCAGAATGCACAAGTTCCCGAAGGAAGGCGAATTAGCTTCTCGCCAATTCTGCCGATGTGCTCAGACCTAGCCTTTGGAAATTACTCTTTTGAAGGACCTGGAGGCGGAATTATACTTCTTCCTAAGAGTACTGGAGTTTACATTCCGATACGTTGATGTGTCAGCCCAGGCCCGGTAGCATTCCTGTTTATTATGATGCTATTTTACAGGAGCGACCAAACTATGGGTGGGATCTGCCTCCGATGGGCACTACAGAGGACGGAATAAAAAGTTCCATAGCCTGAAGTACCACATCAACGACAGAATGAGTAACTCTAAGATCGTCCGGCGAAAAGCATACCCGCCCCCAAGGGTAGGATGCAAAAAAAGACCGCATCCTATCCCAATCGGCCGACCTATAGTGCCAAACATGGCGGCAGCCTGCAGAATGCAACCGCGACGTTAATGTGATTGGCACCACACTCCGGACAAGACAATGGTCTGACGATCCTAAAAGGGCGTCAACGGAAACCTGATATCCGTCCGGATGAGAGGTCAACAAAAGGTCCAACAGGGAAGGTGTATGATCTTCCACATCTGGAATCCGCGTAGGCGAAGTAACCAGTTGTGTCAGACCAAATGCCAAAGCAAAGTGATAAACAGATCTCCTCGAGTGATCGGTTTAACGTGAACCGAGCCATTCGGCGTGGCGGGCGTTAAAATCGCCAAGGATCAAGATCTCTGCGGGTGGGATCTGCTGTAGCACGGAATCTGGAGCCATTTGGATGTGGTCGATGAGTCGGTGTGTTTCAGTATTACTGCTATAGAGGCACCCGTAGATGCAGGGATCGTCGTCGCTGCCTACGTGCAGCCTTAGGGTGGACTGGTCCGTACCTTCAAGACTGCCGAGGCGTCAAAAACAGATGTCCTCTCTGAGGTATACGCAAACTCCAGCACGGGGCACAAAGGTATGTTTTAATCTGTACCTCGGGTAGGAGAGATATGAAATATCAGCTGGAGTCATTGCAAGAGTCTTGGTTAAAAAGAGCAAGAGTGAGTTAAGTATGAATTTAAAAATGTGCCAGGGGAGCAGTTTTTTCGAGGAATTGCATTCCTCTCCCCCCATGGTTCAGCGAGGGATTCTCCGTCACCAAGGGTGCTGGTACCCTCCTGGGGTAGTTTTCACTTAATTCCGGTACCATATTAAAGGGGGGGGGGGATTGGGCCTCCGGCCATCTGCACTCACCAAGCAAAACGCTGAGGTTTTGTGAGGTCGTGGTTTGAGTTAAATGACTAAAATTTTTATGAGGTCTAGGCCCAGCAGTGTAACGTTAAAAGTCTATTTCCTTACTTTTAACCACTGTAACCACATTTCGCAATTAATCATCTTAAAGGTTTTTTTCACAAGTATCTAATATACAAAGTAGTTTTATAAGAATTCGAATATGTGTGTGAGAATATTGTGTATTAAAGCTTGAGAAATTTTCTGAATAAACGCGGTTTTAACATTTTTATAATTATTCAAGCTACATTTTTATGTGTTATTACAAAAATTAAAACTATATTGTGCAAGTCGTAATGATAAATTAGTTTTCGCTTTTGAAATTTTGAACTATAATTGGTTAATTAGCTTGACACTAGATAGTTGACTACAGTAGCTAACAATGCAATTAAAATAAAATAATTTAGCCCCAAACCCCAACAGCTTGTTAGCTGCAACTGTTGTTGTGGCTAAACGTTAAACGCTAAAAAGTTCTAACGGATTAACCGTTAGAACTTTTTAGCCGAAAGATTGACATTGACAACTAACTAGGTACACAGAGTTAGGCTAGAATTATTGCTTATTGGTAAACAAAACAAATACACAGTTAACATTTATCAATAAAACTAAAACAAACGATGTCTTCATTCACTTTCGGGCGATTCAATTCTACTCATCAATTTGTATATGTGAAAGGAAACAATTTGACAATGTTTTATAAACAAATTATTGTTTGCTGCCTTTGTGTACATTCTATGGTTAATTTGCATGACATCATAAACAACTCTAAAGCGAACTTCCTGAGTCTCCTATTACTTCGCCGGAGTCTTTCATGAAGTAAACACGTTTCGCGATGTACAACTTCACGTTGCTGGTGGTATTCTCGTTAATCTTAATTGAGTGCCTTTGTTTAACACCTCAGTGTAGAAATGAAAGGGGGGAACCTGTTGACTGGTAAGTTATTAATTCGATTTTTCAGATTCATTCATTTAACTTAAACTTTAAGTTAAATGAATGAATCACTGCAAGTGTGCAAGCAAATTTCCTACAAACTCTTTGTTTATAAATTAATTAAAGAATATTATATAAATACTTTACATAAAGTTCTTTTGTTGCTAAATTATTGAAGTTAATCTGGTGGTTCCATTCTACTTTTTAATTTTTTAACACTATTAAGATAATTATTAGACACAGGTTTGAATATAGATTCTATTACTTTCCTTAACTGCAGGTTCTATGTTTACAAATTGCCACGGGAGAGAAACCATTTAAACCCCTTGGTACGAAGAGGGGTAGCTTACATGTATCTCACACCATCCAAGCTTAGAGGGGGCTGGATTATGTCTGATTTGGCTATAAGTGATCCTCGCTCTATGGTTGGAAAGACTTTGATGCCATTGTACCAAGTAAGACATAAAATCTGTAATTTTGGTAATTTTTATTAATAATTCATGCATGACTAATTATGAATGTGAAATATTAAGGTATTTTAATAACTTTTTTAATATTAGTCACATACTTTAAACCATTTTTTTTATTATTTTTTAAACATTACAGGATAAAAATATAATCTCCTTAGTATACAACGATCAGCCACCTGCTTTTGAACATCAGCCAGACATCTTGCATTCCGTTGCAGAAATGTATTCTAAAAGCAAAAGAGGTATGTGATTTCTAAACAAAGATACAAAAGATTATACATTTGGAAAATTTTGATCTTTTTAATGTATATTCACAAAATGACCCAGAAAATGTGGTTTAAGTAGATTATTAATTTAATTACCTTTGTGTTTATAATTGTCTTAAACATGCACTTCTTGCTATTTTTAAAAATCTTTTTTATTTTTACACAATGTACATATTACATAATATTTAAGGATAATCACTGCACCATTTTTTAATCAAATGCCATTTGAAAACAAAATACTAACATAATTGGAATTTACCAAGTTAATACACTGTAAGTTAAAAAATCAACTGTAATTTCTTATAATAATATTTTAAAGGTCAAATGAATCAAGCTGGTGTGAAGAAGTTTAAGAAATTTAAACTGGGCGACAAATACTATGATGATTATGATTTAGCTGAAATGTGTAAAATGCACTCAAAGTTTATGAAGTCAAGAGTTGAGAATGGTCACACAAAAGGAGTCATTTTAGGTGATAAGTTCACAGCACTTTGGCTAGTGCATTCTGTCCCAAGATTTCCTCCACTGCCTGATAGTAAGTATAATATATTATTCATATTTTTAGGGTTCTGTAAGTAAAAACAGAACCCTTGTAGGATTATTTTGTTGTCCATCCAATTTAAATTTATATCAATTACTGTGATGTTTGGGTTCTTGCAGGTTTAAAAAATTTAAGCTTTTTAGTCAATGCAATTAAAGATATGGCCAATAATGTTAAATATTTAAATAAACACAGTCTCACTCATCAAAATCTATAGGGTAGTTCCCATTGATGGGTATAACAACATGTAACATGTAAAGGAAAAAATCTGAAAATCATCAATTTGGAATTATATCACATAATACTTTTTTGTGGTTACAAACATACATTTTCAATTGGAGCATTGACTTGACCTTGACCTTGATGTAGAAAGAATTATGGTATTATATTTCTTCAACTGCAGTGTTAAGAATGTCCTTTGACCTGACTTAGATACCTTTTCATTAAAGCAATGTTGAAACCTTGGCTTACTTTAAAAGAATATAATCTTTCTTAATTTATAACATTCATTTGTTAACATTAACTCAATTCCTGGGGCTTATGTTCACATATAATTAAGTTTAATCCGGATCCTTAAGGCCGAGCCCGTGTCCCGTCCACTGCATTTGCATTTGTCGGTTTTTTATTTAGAATTAGGGGTGGCAAACCATTACACAGTCCTAATAGTAAATCGATACTGGTGATGGATTCTTTGAGAATTTGTCAAATACAAAACTATATTCTTATCTATGGCTAATAAAAACATGCTTATTCAAAGAACTTGTAGAGAGAGCTAATTATAGTGTATCATACTGGTCTACATCCAATTTTCAAGCCAATTTTTTGTCAATTTAGGAAGCACATGTCGTGTTCATTATTATTATACATATTATATTTCAGATGGAATATATTTGTGATGCCGCTGGATTTGCCACTCTCCCATTGTACAGAAGATTTTCCATAATGGCCAGTTATACCCTTATCATAGGGTAGCCAATTGCAGTACTATCGTCTTCCATCTTTCACTAGCTACTATTCTCTGTATAGGTATACATTTAGCGGCCACAACATTGTCATACCGCTATCTAAGAAGGTCAAGATCCTTCTGATAATTAACATAGTCGTCTCACGACACCAATGCAATGAAATGATTACACAAGCTTCCAACATGTGTTTAAATTACAATTAAATCAAGGTAATTAAGCACCTGATGATGTTAAATCATGATATATGGTGGGTTGGTGGTCATAGATTGGCCTTCCATTGTGAATAAGACTACTTGTCGCCCGCCTAAATATTTTTGCCTAACTTTTAAGATTTCGTTATTTCGTCATTTGTTAAAGACTACGAGCTCCTTCTGGCATTTCCTTGCGGTAGCGCTACATGGCCTAGTATTATGATCGCACAGCATTTATTTTATACACTGTAAAATCTTCCTAACAAGAGCCTTCTTTAGCATAAATATTTACGATGATGTAAAAAAAATTGTTTTTCTTCTTGCAGTTCATGGTCTTAACTATTCTTCGTATAATTATCCGGCTACAGGCACGAAATATGGACAATCTTTCTTATGTGTATCTGTACAGACCTCAACGCTGAACCAAATTGCAACCCAGCTAAAATACAATGAACCCATGATTGTATATCACCATATACCACAAGACTTCGATAACGAACTTCCTAATTTAGTCGATGTTGTGCATAATAAGACAATTGATGCATCTCCATGGTGAGTCAGAACTATTCCAATAGTAATAAACAATAAACTATATTTACGTTACTAGGGCAATTCAAAAGATATAAACATTACAAAGACATTACAATCGGTGAATCAGTGTGTTTTAGAATTTCAATGACTATTGTATTTGATTTGATCTAATGTTATCATTTACTAGGTCCTAGTTATGAGTCAAATTAAACTTTTGTTTGGAGTTTTACAAATCACTTACATTAATAAAACGGAACGTTAATAGATATTAAATAGGAAACGAAACTAGAGAATGAGGAAAACAGAACAAATACGATCACTTATAACATTACACTTGAGTAAATCCGACTCGAAGGACCAAAACAATGAAATTATTTTTATGAAAAGTAGAATTTACATTATTTTTTTGTACATATAATACGATATGATACATGAATATTTTAGAATACTTTACCTAAAGTATTCTAATTTTTTACTTGTGATTTGGAGACTGGGGGAAGCTCATTAAGGTATAATTAAATTTTAAGGTTTCACTACTTCTTTCAGGTACCATATAGAAAGTTTTGAAACTCTGGTTGGTCGCAAGTTCTTGTCTTTCGCAAAGAGCGCAATGTTTAACGATGACTTGTACAGTGGGTTGGTGGCGGAGGTACTACAGTCAGATCTTTTGGTAGAATCGTGGACCAATGGACCTGGTACATTAGACTCTGAATGTACAAGGAATTTCCAGTAAGCAAACATCGACAAAGTTTTAAATATTATATTGAAACATTTTTATTTGTAAATACATGCTATGTTATTTTCATCCCGCTGAAAATGTGATCCATTACCTTGTACAAGGGTGACACTGAAAGTTCTTAGAAAGTCAAAAACTGAACAAACTAGCAAGTTTTATTATATCTTTTTAAAATAGTGTCCATTTACATCAATACATCGCTGCATCCAATGGAACCCCTGAGAAAAGCACTTTGCCCACTCGTCCTTAGGGGTCTTTTCCATAGCATTTTGAAACGCAGCCACTGCTTCTTGGCGTCCATAACACGTTTTCCTCGAAGTTTTCTTTTTGTTTTCAGAAATAAAAAAAAATCGCAAGGTGCGAGGGCGAGTGAAGTGGTAATTCCACGTCTGACGTCGCCAAGTAGTCAATTGTTTGCTTGGCGGTGTGCGATGAGGTGTGGTGAAGGAGGATCCTACTGCGAAGTCGTTTTTCCCGAACTTTTTCCAAGACAAGTGGCAAACAATTGCTTTTTTTTTCCACGACAACAACGACGGAGTTTTTGGGCCTCTGTCAAACTATGAGGAGGAGGACACAAAGCTTCCTGACCGCTGAATGTTTATGGACGATTTTGTGCACTTGACTCATACCGATGCCTAAGCTTGTCCGAATCTGATGATAAGTCACTCTTTTGTCAGCCTCTATCATACGCCGTACAACACTGATGTTACTTCAGTCGTCGCTGTAGAAGGCCGACCCTCACGCAGATCATCGGTGAGATTACTGCGACCACGTTTAAACTCATTAAACCAGTTGTAAACAGTGGTACGAGATGGGGCTTCATCGTGAAAGGCCAATCGAAGTCTATCATAACTTTCTTGTTGACTTAAATGACATCGAAAGTCATAAAAACATTATACGAACATTTTCTCGCGTTAAATTTATGCTGACGTGACACAGACAATTTTCAATTTGCCGCCAAATCGTAAACAAATGACAAAATAATATTTTTTATTTAATTGTAAGGCTCTGGGTTCTAGTCCTTCTGAGCCTATTATTTCTTTCGGAATATTCATTTTTATATATATTTTCTTCACAATATGCTGATGCATCACATTGAGAAGTTTTTGGGAGATTTTGACGACAGCTCAACCCAGCGGACAGTAGATGACGACAACCAAAACAAGTTCATAAGGCGCCCAAGCAATCAAATCAAACCATTACTGAAGCGACAAAACAGGAGCAACAATCCGTCGACGGCCAAGTTCCCGCCAAAAATACGCAAATTAATAAAATACATATACAATAATATTGGCAAAGAGTTCCATTTTCAAAATTTGAACTTATTTTTTTATCATATTGCTTACAAGTGGCCAGTTCTAAAAACTTTCAGTGTCGCCCTCGTATAATAGGTTACTCTACTTGTTACGTAAAGGAGATGCTGTGAAGTGACGAAAGAGAATCTATCAGTCCACTTCGTTCTGTGTGTGTCGTAAGAGGCGAATATAGTAAATGCCGGGATGACCTCGTGACTTTAGTTAGATGGCATTATAAACACCCGGGACCCTAAAAAGTAACTAGTTAAGTAGAAGACAGGCGCTTGCCTTTAAACACTTCTTCATCAGCTCTTATAAGTCCAATGCTGATCATGGGTCTCCCTCGCTGTATGGCGGATTTGTCTTGCTCTTAGTCATCATGCTTAACAGGCGGATTAACTATCACAGCACCTTTCATGCTGCTCGCCGTTGCTGATCTTAGTATTTTACGCTTGGCGTAAAGAAATGGTAATACCACCATCTATCAGAAGCGATAAGACCTTTCTGGCGTTTCTCATTCTCATAGTCGCCTTTGAACACCGACGAATCGTGATTGATTTTCTTACACCACCATAACACCATGGGAAGGTAAGCTTGGACGAAATGATACCTGTTTGGTGGTGCCTAAGTTGAATGCTGTGCATTATAATAGGGTTATTACAATATGGATTAATTTAACGATTAAGTAGTGGCTAGAAGAGGCGAATGAATTCTACCCGGAGCGAGTTTTATGGCCTACAAATAATTCTTCCAGGAGTGGATAATTTGCCTCCACGATACAGGACAAATTCCTAGGTTTACGTTTTTAATTACTCCAGTTATTATACCTAACAAAATTACTCTTGCGCATTGAGGCGTGACATTATTCTAAAGTTGATGGCTTAGTTGTCAGTGGTTCATGAGACGTTACTATTATCAGACTTACATATGTTACAGTCAAAACTCATATCCGTTCAAAACAACTTATGACTGCAGAAATCAGGCCCAAATGGTTTCGACCGATGATACCCTTAGTCAAAAACAGTTTTGACTGATTTTTATAGCCAAAAGTGGTTTATACCAATGTTCTCAGTTATATGATTTGACCAACGTTTTAGTTCAATTCTTTCAATATATGGTTAAGGATTATATCATTACAATCTACGCGGCTTTAGGATGTCCCAAAGGCTAGCCCAGCCGCACTTTAACCTACTGTCACTGATAATCCAAGATTTGATTAATCTTTTATACCATTCAAGTAAGTATGAATATATAAAAAATATACCAGGAAAAATTAGGTTTGACCAACGTCATGAACCTTGGCCAAAACTACTTTTGCTTGATTTTTGCAGTCAATAATGGTTTTGACCGGTTATGAGTTTTGACTGTAACATATATAATGAAATTGCTAATAACAAGGAAGATGCCTGACTGAGGGGTAATTCAAATAATGTATTGTATGTAATTAATGCAACTTGCAGGGTGCGAAACATCGAACGCCTCAAGTTCCCGATCGCGAAGATGTCGTTCACTTCGCACAACGACCACTCGAAGTGGGCGGTCGCGGTCGCTCACAAGATGCACAACAGTCAGGACACCAAGGTTGCCGACTATTGGGTCTGCGTCGGAGACATCAACAGGGCGGTGAGTTGCAAGCATTCATTTATGCGAGTGCATGGCAATATTCTATTGTATATTTGCAAATATCAACATAGTGCTTATATTTAGTGGAGGCCTTTTGGTGGGCTGTAATGAATGATTAATGAATTTTATTATCTAATCAGTCGTGCGATTGTGTAGGTAGGAATTGTGTGGTATTGTTGTGTAAATGTATGTGTTAATGATACATCGTGGATAATAACCTCCGGGAATAAGGTGTTGGTTTCCAAGTTGCATCTTAAATGAGTTTTGTAAATAGTTGTACAACTTATTTTATATTGTATAATATTACTATAGAAACCGTGGTATTCATGCTGGTTCTTCCCAGGACAGAGGTTTTTTTTCCGTACCAGTGCTAAAATTAAATATACTTTCCATGACATTTATAATCTGTCTATCGTCGTGCGATTTACCAGAAGTTTTCTGCCTCGAATGACTTATTTATGATCGACTACCACCAGATAATTTCCGGACAGTCCAGGAACAGGTACAATACCCCGGGTATTGCACTTGTTCGTGGACGGTGTTAGTTACTTAATGTCAGGTGAATCGCATGTTACGTCCCCCCCCCCCCCAATAAGAATCTATTTGTTCTTCATTATTATTTAACTTATTTTACATATTAAAGTAAAGATGTTGAGAGTAAGGTACTAATCCCGCCGACCGACTCGTTCATTGTTTACTTACTAGCATAGTTCGAGTACCATAGGGGTTTGTAGTACACATTTTTGTTAATGTCACTTTCTGATATAAAAATGTGGTCCCAATTTTTTCAGCTGCCTCAAGAATCCCGAGGCGGCGGCACAGTTTGCACTTCCGGCCCCATCCTCTGGGGCAATTTCGCGCATCTCATCGAATCAGTCCAGACGTGCAATTAGTATATAAGTTACATTACATAATATACTTTAAGGACTAATAAAGTGTCATTCCTCTTTACTAAGAATCATTGTAAATATCCTTTGTGCCAGTTTACTCAAGTCAATGAGATGTGTAATTGTTTAGATTTAGTACAATATGCTGCAATTGCGTTTCTTGTGATCTTTCTGTTTGTTAATGATTAAATTCTATAGTCGTTCAAGGAAAATATTGTATTATGTGATTCAAGATAAAAATTAATGAAAACCAAAAATCAATGATAAACAAGCCAAGAATGGTCTAGTATGCTATTTTTAATGAAATCAATACTCAAGTTGTATATCTTGAATTTTAACATTTTTTACATAGGATGATTGCCTTGGCCGGTGGTAATATTTACTTAAAGTTTTTTAAATGATTTCGTTTTTCTCTTCGCCATTGTATGTTTGTATTTTGGTAAACATCGTCTGTCGCTTTATCATTATTTATTGTTATATTTAATGTAAGGAATGTTTTGAATGATTGATGTATTTTTATACAGTGTTGTTCTTCAGGTGTTACTCATACGTTATAGAAATCGAAACTTATATTTATTATGTTGTTTGTTTATTTTCAATGTCAATTTTCTGCGTGGTTCAATGGTTATCCTGTATAGTTGCTATGTTTCTCCCGAATACAGATCCTTGTCGAAGTCGGAAGCTGTGAATTTTAATAAATTATAAATTTTTACAACGAATTGGTAGTGTTTAATGTAATGTACATTATACCTAATCGAAATAACGGGAACACCTACAATCATCGTCATCAATATCGAATATAAGTATATTAAGAATTAAAAAATTATGTTATCCTTAACTCTTAACATATTTCGGATCTTAAGCGACTTTCTTTCTAATTTTGATACAGTTCTTAAATTTTCCTACAAGTGTCTTGATAAGTTAAAAGAAAAATGTATAATATATTCTATTCGTCGCGTCGCTACGGCCAGCATCCAGTTTCATCATTAGATCAGCTCCAGTTTATTGGCATCGTCATCGAAATTATATAAGTATGCCAAATTTCAGTACAAATTGATGTCGTCAGCAAGTGCTTCAAAAATTTATTACAAAATGTTATCTGGAAAGACATACTAAAAAGCAAGTTAAATGAAATATTGTAAAAATTAGGTTAAAACGCCAATGATAATATCAATAGCATACATTGTATACTTATAACAATTTCTTGGAATCTAGTCAGTAAAACAAATGGATTAAAAATAATATGAATAAGGCAAAAATAAGTTGCTTTGACACATTCACATAAATCTTTCAAAAGATTCGAAACAATTACTTTTTATGGAACGAAGTTTATAGTTTTATGCAATATATTTGACGAGTGGTTAGCATTATGTTCGTTTCAAGTATTTTCTTCTCAATTGTGTACACCAATTTGATCATACCGTGTTATGGTTATTCTGATGATGTTCACGGATGGAATTACTTGAATGTACACTGTCGGGATAACGAAAATAAGCCGGTGGAATGGTAAATAATATTAATAAGTAGTTTATTATCTCCATAACCAAACAATAATAATAACTTTTACGAGTACATTAACTAAGTACATCATCATCTTCATAATAGAACTTCCAGGTCCACTGCTGAATACAAGCCCCCAAGGAATGCCCCAAAGTACGGTCCTAGGTCACCTACATCCATCAATTGCCTACATCTCTTACTAGGTCGTTACTCCATGTAGTGGGGGCCGTACTTGAAAAATAAAATATAATTGTACTATACTTTTAATAAACGTTAACTAAACTTAAGAGGTTAGAATATATCTATATACTTTACTTTTATCTACGTTCTAAGAAACGATAACTATCTAATAACCATTTTGATTATTTCCGTTAACCATTCCACTTTTGTTAAGAGTGATTCACAACAATATACGAATGGCGAACTCCAACCCACGACTTAGCTAAACAGCGGGTTGCTACTGTCACATAATTTGCTAATGATTAGTAGCGTAGCTTAATTGGAACCTTAAAATGCTAATAATGAATCGATCTAGTCCAATGGAGGAATCATCAAGCAATCAGACGACTACATAATTCGTAGAGCAGTGTACAGAGTGGATACCTACTAAATTATCTGAGATGAGCTCATAAGGGCAAGTTTCAAAGGTTAAATGTTCGATATTCTACATATAATGGCTCTTATACCTCTTATGTGAATATGTCTTCTTACCTCTGTTAGTGTAGTGCGTAAGATATAAGGCGTCCTTTGATAGTCAATTTCCTTGCGTAGCTTGGCGATTACGGTAATAACTATAATTTTTTACTGTTATTATCGTTATGTTCAGCAGTAACTGATGACGACGATTATTTATGTTTTGAATAAAACTGCCGCACGTATAGTGTTGTGTAATAAAATATATAACAGTGTGGTAATTAAATATAATATATTGACGGTGCCGTGTGGTATTGCGTAAGAGAATCCTTCACCTCATTTCGTCCCGGAGGTTTTTTTCTTATAGAATAAGGGTGACAAACGAGCACACAGTCCGCCTGATTGTAAGTGGATGCTGTGGCCCATAGACATCTTCATTTATCCTAGATTGAGAATCAAAATGCAGATGCGGTCCTCCCTTAAGGTAGACAGACGGTCCACCTGATGGTAAGTGGTTGCTGTGGATCATAGACATCTATATTTCTATCTCCTCGATTAAGAATTAAAACGCAGATGCGTTGTCCCTGAGGACTAAGATGGAATGCCTTGTTTCCAGTAAAAAGGGTCTCCGGTTCTTTACACACCATACGAAACACAACAGCTTTAAGCTGCTATTTTACGCTGGTATTCCGTAAGAGCGTGGTCCTACCCCGGTCGAGATGACCCAGTCGTGCTACAACTACAGTATAGCTACAACGTGGCTCTACCTCGTAAGAAATTCTATTCTCGTAGCCTAACGGGACGGAAATCCGACACAACGTACTTGCCTAGGCACGGGCATTTTCCTGACTTCAGGCTTCTGTTGAGAATTTCTTATATAAATACAAAATTGACAAAAACCCTAATGACTGATTAATGCCCGATCCCGGGATTTTAATGAAATTATTAATCGCAATTTTAAGTGCTGAAAAACGTGCTCGGCGGTGAAGGAAGACATCGTGAAGAAACACGCATTGCGGGAGCGCGACGGACACTTCTTCGCCTTCGAACCATTTCAGAATTGAGAAGACGCCCGTTCACAGATGTGGGACGTGTTTAGACTGTAGCTTAGCTTTATTAAACTTTATACAATACACATTTACGCAGGTGGTATATGTACAAGTATCCTAGCGAAGTCGTCCCATATTTAGAGATGGGGCGGAGTTTCACTTATATAACGTCCAACATCGCAGGCCGATGGCAAATTTCAGATAAATATATAACTTCTAACTCTATGCTGCAACATACACTGTCGCCTATTTATAGGGTAAGGGGTATTCATTGTTTATTTCTATTAATCATTTATCCTTTGTTACCGTGGTAACCAAGCGCTCGCTGCTTGATAGTCGAAATGAAAATAAATACGCCGTATGTATATTATAAAAAATACTCGTAGAGTACAATACCCAATACTGTTACAGAAGCTATATGACATTCGTATATGTGATACGGCGTACAAATGGTTTAAATCTTACCTAGAAAACCGTAAACAATATATAGAGAGAGTGTTTTATAAGCATGACACTGCACTGGCAAAATGTGCAACGTTAGATCTGAAACAATCTACACTACTTGCTCCATCCCTCAAGGCAGCGTTTTGGGATGTTTGCTATTTATTGTTTACATAAACGAACTACCTAGGGTATTGAATGATACCTCTGTTATATTTGCTGATGACATTTCTATTCTTATTTCACATACTAAATACCAGAATTTAAATAATAAATTGAACCATGTATTGAATCAGGTTACAAATTGGCTTACACATCAAAACCTAGAGATTAATTTAAAAATCAAAAAAAATTTATGCAATTCCCATCAGTTCAAAGATCACCACTAAGTATCGCTTTTAACTATACCTAATAACACTCATAGACACTATTGACAACTTCAACTTGCTAGGCCTGGAAACCAACTGCCATGGAAACTGGAAAGTCTATATAAATAAAGTCAAAATCGGCTATCCAGGTTCACATAGAAATTACGAAAAAAAAATACGCATACACATCTGTGGCTAGCATTGGTGTCATGTTGTGGTAGTCCGATGCTCCAAAAAAGTCATAAGTATTTTGGCAAATATTTCCAGAAAGTTGTAAGCCCCAATTCAAAAAGCTTAAAATTTTGACTTTGACGTCTACATTTGGGAAACATACAAATTTGTGAAAAAAGTAAAACTACCTAGAACTATTCACCAAATTAAATGAAACTAATTACAAATGCTCCATTAGATCAAATAAGAATAGGCTACTATTGCCGAAATCTATACGTACTCGTAGCTCAAGTAGTCCCTAGTGTATGATAGTAATTTTTTAATAACCTTCCAAATGACTTGAACCTTGAAATCTAACGGATACTAAGTACATTATTTTTATCAAAATTAAGGTTACAATTAATTGAAAAGTGTTTCTATAGTTTAAATGAATATTTTGATACAAATATTATTTAATTTGCTTGGATATCTCCGACCTATTTTTTTTAGTTATTATTTAATTTAATTTTATAAGTGTACAATTTTATTTTATTTTGTTTTATTTCTTAACAATGTTACTTAATAATGAAATTTGATGATATTTAATATATAATACGTAATTTAATAATTTAAAAAACGTAATTTAATACCTTATAATTGCTATGCCCAAACCGGGTTTAAATGTCAAACGTCACGTCTATTATTACCATTTGATTATGAATAAAGATTATGAATACGATTATGATAAGTGTGAAACACGGGTTCGATTCCCGCTGGCACCAATGGTTGACAAAAATCGCTAATTGCAAATTTACGTGCAGATTAACCACGTGCTCGGCGGTGAAGTGGAACAACGTTAGGAAAC